ACAGAATTATTGTAATTTCAGTCTTCAGTCTTGCATACTTCCTGTCACTTGATAAGAGGAAGGCATGAAGGCAACTACAGTACATGGGAAGAGTGTCAGCAGCACTTCCTGTTGCTCAGCTGGGGAAAGTCAGCACATTTTATGAGGTCACTGTGGCTATAAATAGTGCTGGCTCAGCCGGGAGGAAAAATGCCTGCAAACCAAAGATTTCAGCAGAAAGGCCGTCACTGAAGCAGATTCTGCTATGGATGTCTCTCTCTGCAGTGTGTTTGTCGTTATGGTGGGCGTCAGATTCTGGCGTCACACGAGGTCTGTGGCAGCAGACTGCAGTCAGTGGTAATCTCTCTCCTGGTAGTGCCATTACATTAGTGCCATCTGCCACCTGGCGTTTGTGTGGATGGCAACTCTTGAGGGTTTGTTGCAAATCAGAAACACTGTTAATTTATTTTAGTGGTTGCTGTTCTGTATTGTAGGCATGCAGAACATTTCTATAATTAATACACAGTATATGATAGACAGTCAAAATTATTCGCCCTCCTGTGAGTTACTTTTTTTCATTTTCAAATATTTTCCGAATGATGTTTCACAGATCAAGTCCTACTAATGTAGAAACAATCTCAAAACGAACATGCATTGTGAAATATGTCGTTTATACTCAACATATAATATAAAGCAGGATGAACTTTAATTATATTGCTGGATTCATACCAAGCGTGTCGCACCATGCTCTGGATCAAGGGTTCTCAACTGGTTTGGCCATGGTCACATTTTTACATGGTCATCAAGCTGCGACGCAAATTTTTAAGAACTGTAACACAATTTTAGGAATTATAATAAATTTGTAATTATTTGTTAACATATATATGTAGTGACAGATATATCATAAGAAAATCACCAAGAATTACAAATAAACAATATTTTACTGCTGTCATTTAACAAAATGTATCTAATTATAGAAATATTAGAAAGTAAAAACGACAAATACTGTAAACAGTGGTTAGGGTTAGGAAAGGTTGAGTTAAGATGAACTAAACTGAACTGTTAATAAAACATGTTGTCTGGTTTCTGAATGTCGTTTTAATTTAGGTTTCATGCTCTCTTGTTAGAGCACCTCGCATGAAACACTGAGGCTTTAAGTCTTTTTTTGTCGTTATTATATTAGGGCTGTGCAATTAATCGAAAATCCGGTTTCGATTTCGATTTTGGCTTCTAACGATTATGAAAAACCATTAATTGAGAGAAACGATTATTGCATCATATACCGCCCCCTTTCCAGTCGAGTTGTACACTTTTGTCGCTCTGCAAAGCTCAGTTCCATGTGAAAATGACTAAAAGCCTGTACTGTAATGTAACGTTTGCAGCACGGGGTGCGCATCATTCATTGATGTACGTTCGAATCATTCATATTTTTAATAATGCGAAAGAGCACGTGCTGTTGTGTGTGTGCGCCGCTCTAAGCCTCGGACAGGCTCGGAGACGAGCAGAGCACACACATCTACGCCATCTTAATGTGAGCGCTTTACTGGTCAAATACATGCACGTGTGTGTCAGAGCCCGATGTTTAGTGATTATTCATATTTAGCCTCATTTGTGTAATAAACAAATGAGTTGAGAAACAAAAGACATGTGAAAGAGACTAATAATATTGAGCTATTAAAACAGGTTTCAAAATATTTAAATATTATAGGAAATACTATAAAAAATTCCTCTGTTAAACATAATTTGGGAAATATTTCTATATATAAAAAAAAAAATCACAGAAGGGCGAATAATTTTGACTTTAACTGATAATTGTTTTGAATAATTGTGATTACAATTATAACCAAAATAATCGGGATAATGATTTTTCCCATAATCGAGCAGCCCTACAATATATGTAAATCCATACTTTACATCTTCAGGGTCATACTTGCGCTTCGACATATTTGTTGCTATAGTTAAATGAAATTTCACATGTCAAACGGTGGGGTTGTCATGCACGCATTTCAATATAAAAGTCAAAACAATTTAAAAATTAAACTTAAAAAAAAAAAAAGAAAAAGAAATTAAACAACCCTCTGAAAATGTTCCCGCGACCCACTTTTGGGTTGCGACCCTCCAGTTGAGAAACACTGCTCTAGATTACTCACGGGAAGATTTGTGCCTTAAAAATGTTCGGGTTAAGTAGAATATCTTGAATTTGAGCAGAAAATGCGAATGATGTGAGTTTTAAGAGCTAACATGTCACGCATTCCAGATCATTCACACCATCCAGTTTGCATTACTCTACTTACACGAATACTTAAATTTGAGTTTGGTTTGAATCATATGATCTTGCAGGCCGGATAAAATGATTCGAGTTTGACATGTGCTATAGGAGATTGGTAGGCCCACATGGATTCAGATTTTTATCCCATCATTGAGTCCATGTGTGTACATTTATATTTATTCAGTTTTTAAATTAGTTACAGTAATATTATTGACTAATGAAAATGTGACTTGTGTACAATATAGTTTGTAAAGGAATATTTTCTGTCATTTAGTAGACATATTATATGAGATGCGTTATGTACCAAATAAGTAAATCTAATTGTATTTGCATTTTAAACATTAACTTTTAATGTTTGAATTTTTATATATTAACTTTTTAGTTATGATTTTTTCTTTTAGTTTTTTACAAAATTCTGTGGAGAAATAGCAAAAACTGTCCACAGATACTGTCTGGCCCTAGGGATCGGCAATAGATATATAGTATGCACTGTTAAAAAAAAAAAGCAAACAGTTTTGGGGTTTGGGATGGATGGCTGTTTTGCATTTATTTATGCTTTGGGATTGCATGGTACCCTTGATATCTATTCTGACCACGTTTGATGTTGGTCATGTACAATGGTCAGCATATATAAGTTCACACCCTCACAAATCTCTCTTTTAATTTTATATTTTCTATAGGAAGTTATACAATATTATAATTGTGCATATACATTACAGTCCGGAGCTTATCTAACAACATAACTTACGATAATGGTAAAAATGTAAATGGTAAAACTATTAGACCTAAATGTATATGTTCTATAAAAATATTAAATACAAATTTAAACAAGAGGAAAAATCAAGAGAAACACAAAAATAAATAAAATTTTTTGTAGCTTTTAATTTATTTTTGCAATATTTTGCTTGAATTTAATTGAATTTTCTTTCAATTTCCAAATATGTTTGGTGACTAAAATATTATTTTTAATAAATTTAATTTAAGTACTAGTTTTAATCAAGTTTAATAAATCTGTTTTGTTTAAATTCACCAAAATACATTGCCCATATTCACTGAGAAATGGATACAAATATTCTTCTTCAAAATGGGGTGTGCCCAATTATGCTGAGCACTGTAAATTACATATATTTTATGAATTTTATATTATTTTTCTAACACAATAATTTGTTTTAAACTGCAAAAACTGTAACTAAGTTACATCAAAAGTTATAGAAGTAAAGATCAAAAACAGTAATGCAATTTGAAAGCATAAATAAATGTTAAACAACAATGAATCATAAGATATCGACAACTGTTAATGTTAGCTAAAAAAACATCTCTACTGTGTAATCATACAAGAAATGGGATTATACTGATGCAATGTTTATATTGATGCAGAGTCCTTTGTGGTTCTAGATCTAGTGTTAGGGCTCTATTTTGACGGTCCAGGCGCAAAACGAGGGCGCAAACGCTTTCAGGGCGTGTCAGAATCTAATTTAAGGACGGCAAAATCCGCTTTGCGCCATGGCGCATGGGCTAAAAGGGTTGAGTTTATTTTTTTTAATGAGTTATAGGTGTGTTTTGAGAATAAACCAATCAGTCTCATCTCCCATTCACTTTAAGAGGCAGTTGCGTCGCGCCATAAGCGCATTTGCTATTTACATAACGTAAAGTAAGTGTAAGTAGAAAAACTGAGCATTTCACTAGCAATAAAACAGTTAAACAGAGCATCTACTGCACGAGAATGAGAGATAAATGATTAACTTTCACTTTCGCTCTCATGAATATAGGGAAACCTTGTACGCACAGACATCAATTAGTCTATAAATAATTAATTTTGTTCGTTAAGCGCAAAGATTTGTTTCAAAACTATTTCTAAATTCAGTTCTAATTTCCAGCAAACGAATAAATGAACAATAATAACAAAATGTGCTCAAAAAACGTTATATCCAAATACACATGCTGTGCCTCATATGGTCTAAAACCTGACAGGTGGGCAAATCTAAGCTTGTTTTTAATAAAACAAATATAAATATGAATATAATAAATAATACTGCTAATAATAATAATATTATACAAGAGCAAATTGAATGAACTGAAAAAGCCTCCCGAGATGAAGAAAGTATGAAAGCAGTGGTTTTTAAATTTATGTTTTGTAATATTTTAATCCTTTATATTTATATCCTATATATATCCTTAATATTTTATCTCTTTTTCATATGTAAAGATATTTGCGTATTGCTCTACATCTTGTGTGTATTAAGCAGTGTGTTAGCGAGGCGCACTATGAGCCAGACAATAGACCGGCTTTGATCTGGTCTAAAGAACAGACTATTATAGTTTCTCAAAATACTATTATAGTTTCTTCTCAAAATACTATTATAGTTTCTTTTTTAGACCAGAACGCCTATGGGCGCACATATGAGCGCAATTGCATTTGCTATTTAAACAGCGCGGCGCAACACCTCAAAACGACTCTTGCGCCGAGCTGAAAGTAGCAAATAACAGTTGCGTTGCGCCTTACGCCACATTGCGCCAGGTGTATGATAGGGCCCTTAGACTGTCAAAGTGCTAACCTAATTTTTCCACTTTGAGAATTAATAAAAAATGTTACTTCGCACATAAATGGTGCCGTTTTGTTTTAGAAATCCACCAGTTTGTGCCATTTACTGGTCTGATTAATAAAAATGCCTAAAACTCTGTGCGTGCGTGCGTGCGTGTATAAGTAAATCTGTGTTGATCAGTAAGAATGTCCTTCTTTCTTCCTCTGCAGTTTTTGACTACAGCTATCGGGACTATATTCTGTCATGGTACGTCCCCTTGAGTCGAGATGAGGGCCAGCTGTACCAGATGCTGTCGGAGGACTTCTGGGAAATGATCAAACAGGTGCGAATGCGTCTGTCTGAGGTGGACGTGGTCAACCTCGTCTGTAACGACATGGTCAAAACCCTCCACCAGCACTTCTGTGACCTCAAAGCTGCTAACACAAGGTGAGACGCACCACGTTTTAGTGCTCGTAATGGAGACAGAAAGAACTTAAACTTTTTTTTTTTTTTACTTTGAAACAACTTAAATTCTAGTACTGATATTAAAACCACTAGAAACCGGAGCACCCAGAGGAAACCCACACCAACACGGGGAGAACATGCAAACTCCACACTGAAATGCCTACTGGCTCAGCCGGGACTTAAACCAGCGACCTTCTTGCTGTAAGGCGACAGTGCTAAAGACTGAACTGAACAGAATGAACACTGGAAATACTGACGACTCATTTCATGGAGCTCAGAATCACTTTTTTTTGTCACGATTTTGATCTTTGGACTTTGCAGACCTTTTATGATGACAAACAGCATGCAGCAAGATAGTATCCCAAAAAGCACAAAGGGGTCATTTCCAGCATGTTGTCATTTTCAAAACGGCTAAATGTCCTTTGCTGTACTGACCAGTACTTTATCATTCTCACACCACATCAAAGCAAAAAAAAAAAAAATATGTCAGGCATAATAGCTGATGCTCTCTGTGTTGTTCTGAGTTTATGGACTGTGCCACTGGCTCTACGCCCAGAGACAAAGCATTAAGAGATGCATCATCTCTGTATCATCTTTAGCTCAATGGCAGCCATTAGAAGAACATCTAGAGCTTTTAGAGAGCTGTGATTAGATTGATTAGGAAAGGGCAATGGCCTTGCCATCTCATGAATAATATTGTTTCAAATATTATTTAGACCTCCTTTTTTTAAAAAATATTTTAGGAGTGCTGTAATGTTCCATTAAAATAAAAATAACAACCATAAATGAAAATTCTGTCATTAATTACTCACCCTCATGTCATTTCAATTCCCTGCGACTTTGTTCATATTCAAACTAAATTTTAAAACATTTGAGGTTAATCTCAAAATCTCCCTCATCCTTCGTAGACAGCAAGGGTCTTGAAACATTTCAGAAAGTCTAGAAAAGAAAACGAAAACATTGTCAAAGCATTCCGTGTGACTTCAGTGGTTCAAGTGTAATCATACGAAGCTCTGAGGACACTTTTGAAGAAAAAACTCTTCGGAACTCATGAAACAAAATCCACTTTTCCACTATCAGTGCAGGTTCTGTTTGCTTAATCATCCCATTCCATGTCGATCCAGTCCAGTCGTCAGCAAGGGAACATTTTAATTTTCCACTGTGGTGCTGATAATGGAAATCTTGGAATGTGGTACAAATGCGCTCGTCATTGCTTTGATGACATAAATGTAATAATGTAAGCAGCAAGATGGATGACTATCAGATATTTCTGTTTTTGGTCTCCTGATATTTGCTTCATTGAAAAACAACAACAACAACAAATAATAATAACAATAATAATAATAACAATAATAATTATAACAACAATAATAATAATAATAATAATAATAATAATAAATCATAATAACAACAACAATAATAATAATAATACTAAAAATAATAACAATAATAATAATAATAATAATAATAATAATAATAATAATAATAATAAATCATAACAACAACAACAATAATAATAATAATAACCATAATAATAATAATAATAATAATAATAATAATAATAAAAAATAAATAAATAATAATAATAATAATAATAATAATAATAATAATAATAATAATAATAATAATAAATCATAACAACAACAACAATAATAATAATAATAACCATAATAATAATAATAATAATAATAATAATAATAATAAAAAATAAATAAATAATAATAATAATAATAATAATAATAATAATAATAATAATAATAATAATAATTTGTGTGATTCTGCATAGCAAGTTTTGGAGGCCCTGCCAACCAGGCAACAGTGTGATGCCATTTGCACACATGCTCCACCACTCCAGCATGATTCAGCATGGTTGTCTAACCGGGCTTAGATTTTGGGTTGAGAATAGTTTAGAAACATGCCTTGCTTTTCCAGGCTGATGTAAAAAGCAAAAAAACTCTTTTTCAACGCAAACAAATTCAGTGGGATCAAGGGCCTTAGTTTTTTGGTGAAATATTGTTTTTAAGAGTCACAAGGAATGCAAAGTTTTGCATGTGGTTTGTTTGTCTGGATTTTCAGAGCGATTTACATAATTATTTATCAACTTACTTTTAGCTGATTTACCTCGTTTCAGCCAGAAAAGCACAAGATTGTGAAACCTTTGTGCACTCTGCACGTGTATCCAATCTGCAAGTGTTCTGATCATAAGGTCATGGATTCGCTAATTTCTGATTTTGTTTTGGTAGAAAGCTTGCTGATTGCTTTAGAAACACACTCATACACTCATTCATTTGCACACATGTACATACACAAGCGCAGTCTTTACATTATTGTTTCTTAGTTTGATTGATCATGATGTCTTCTGACGACTTTAAAATGCCAGCCTGTAATTCAACTCTTTAGTTTTACTCAAAACATCAGTCACACACTTGCATACTTGGATTTCTGTGTGTATGGATGCAGTAATGAGCATCTCTGCCTGTCGTTTCTTCATCTCTCTCTCTCTCTCTCACTCTGTGTGATCATTAGCTGAGTGCACAGACATCTTCTCTTCCTCCACTCATCTCTCCTCTCCCACCCGATCTGTTTATCTGTCTCTGTCCATTTATGAATTATTTGACACTTTTCACCTTTTGAACTGAGATCAGTCTTGCTCTTTGTCAGTTTTCAATGATGCTTTGCAAGAAGAAAACTGTGATAATCCTATATAGATAAAAACACACAGCAACATACATTTAATTTAATTTTTACATTTAATTAAATTTAATAGATTTTTTAAATTTAATTTAGTTTTAGTAAAATTTTATTTGGTTTAATTTTTTTAAATTAAAGTAAATTTAATTTAGTATAATTTAATAAAAATAAAATAATTATTTTTATTTAATTGTATTATTTTTTATTTATTTATTTATTTATTTATTTTTTATTTCATTGCTTGGCCAAATTTTATGAAATACAATTTTTGTGGAAAAAAATAGAAAAGTAAACATGTAATGTAAAGGAAACGTACAACAAAATAGCATATTGAAAAAAAAAAAAACAGTGACCTGATAATCCTATCTTGATAAAAAAAAAAACACAAATTAACACATATTTAATTTAATTTAATATTTTTAATTTAATTTTATTTTATTAACTTTATTTTATTTAAAATTTTATTTAATGATTTAATTAAATTTAAGTTTTAATTTATTTTTATTTTATTTTATTGCTTGGCTAAATTCTATGAAAAAAAAACAATGTGAAAATATAATGTAAAGGAAACACATAAAACATTAGTAAAAAATAAAACAATAAAATATATCTAGATAATAATTTATATATTTTTCCATGTTCATTTTCATATATTTGTTTTTTCCTTTGACCAAATTTAATAAATTAAAAATTGTGAAAATAACACAGAAAAGATCAAATGAAATATAACATAAAAATATAAAACAATAGTAAGAAATAAAACAAAAAGAAATTTGTGTGACATGATAATTTCTATATCTTTCCATTTTAATTTTCATATCAGTTTATTGAATTGACTTACTTTGCACATTGCCAAATAAAGGTTTATAAAGAAAAGTACAGAACAGAGAAGTAAGCTATCATATAACGTAACATGAAGAGGTGTAATAAAGATAGATAAACAAACAAAGCTGTCATATAAGGTAACCTATTTTTCTTTTTCATTCTGTCTCTCTCCAGGCTGGAGGAAGTTCCCCGGCCATTTCCGTTGCATCCATGTCTGCAGAGTCCAGATGAGGAACTGCGTTTCCTGCGCTGTTGTGCTCGTCTGCTCCTGCTGCGTCTGCTGCCCGTGCGGGATGCTCGCTCTCGCAGTCTACGCCTCCTCCTGGTGGAGGTCGTCACTACTAAAGGTGACCTGGATCTTCCTACAGCTTACAGTACACTCAGAACATCACATACAGTTGAAGTCTGAATTATTAGCGCCCTCCTTTATTTCTGCTTTACGAAAGGAAGAGTTTTTCAACTAATTTCTAAGTGTAACAACTTATTTCTGATGACTGTTTTCTTTTATCTTTGCCATAATTACAGTACATAATATTTGACTAGATATTTTTCAAGACATTAGTGTTCAGCTTAATATGACATTTAAAAGCTTAACTAGGTTAAGTGGGCAAGTCAGGGTAATTAGGCCGATTTCCGCTACGTGGAGCGTCACACCAAATTTGATCCCGCCACAGCTACATTAGAGCTTTTCATTCAAAACATTTGTCGTGGTTTTTTTTTAAATAGTGGGTGATAATCGCACCAAAACGTAATAAAAGGTAAGTGAATTATAACAACGCGAGCTTTTCTGTAACCGTAGTAGTGCTGTGCATAATTTGTTTAACCCTTTAAGATTATGTGCTGGCTGACTGACAGGTGCTTGATGCGGGAGGCCAGCAAACAAGACGTATAGCCGTCTCACTTTACTTTAGGACACATTATTGCTGCTCTGTAGGTCTATTGGAGACATTCATAAATATTCCTAGCAAATCTAATAAATGTCGAAGACATACTTGTTACATAAATGCACTAAATCACACTTCAGCAGCGTTTATTTGAGTGCGCACAAGAAGATCTGCGCTTGAGCAGGGTATATTTGAGGGGGCATGCGATAAGTTTTGTGCACGAGCAGTGGAAATTGGTGCGCAAGTAAAGAGATGCGCATGTATGTAGGCTATTACATAAATGCGATCTCGAGTTGTAATACTGCGCTCACGAGTCACGACAGAAATAACGAACACAGATAAAAAGGCCTGCCGCCACAGCTGGAAAAAATCCTAGAGGAAACACTGAAAGTCATTGTGTAATGACGGTTTGTTCTGTAGGCAAACCAAAAAATATAGCTTATGAGGCCTAATAATTTTGACCTTAAACGGTCTTTAAAAAATTAAAAGCTGCTTTTCTTCTAGCTGAAATAAATCAAATAATAAGAAATAATATTATAGGAAATACTGTGAAAGATTCCTCGCTCTGTTAAACATCATTTGGGAAATATTTAAAAAATAATAAAACATTCACCGGAGGGCGAATCATTTTGACTTCGTACATAATAAATGAAAAACATCACATACAAAATACATGTTATAAACATCACATACATAATACATGTTAAACATCACATAAATGCAAGGCTGTTGGGCAGAGATGACCAAAGTACACACATCTTTTACTCAAGTAAAAGTATAGATACTCATGTTTAATATGAAAGTTGAAGTACTGATTACACTTTTGTACTCAAGTAAAAGTAAAGAAGTACGGCCTGAAATATTTACTTACGTAAAAGTATTCATTACTATACCTATTTTAGTTTCACGGTTATAACTACACTGCACATTTTGTATCTATACAAAATTAACTTTCTGGTGGTCAGTTCTTTAGATGGTTTAAAGTATCTCACACGGTACTTTCACGGTTTATGTCTTAAATAATAATATTAAAAACAAAAATAGAGACATAAAAATCCTATAAATAAACATTTGACCTCCCCGATAACTGTTCACACCATTACAAATGCATGATCACAGCCAGCATATTAGACTCTTATGTATTTTAATAGATGCCTATATTTGCAAATAAAAGTTAACGAGTGTTAACGAGGTACTAACGAGGGTGCTAAACAAGCTGTCTGTATAAACACACACACAGACAAACAGCACCAAGCAAGCGACAGCGACACACTGCATCTCTCTCTCATTCACACACATACACACACACAAACATAGACAGCGCCAAACAAGCGACACACAGCATCCTGCTCTCTCTCATTCACACACATAAACAAACACGCACGCATGTGCTTGCTCGCTCGGGAGTGATATTGTTAGACCGCCCGCTCCCGTTCAAATTACACCAGAGTGTAATTTGCGCATTATTCTGAGTTTTTGTTCCTCTATCCAGAAGTAACAGCCGAAAGGAGAGGAAAAGTCTTTGTCAGCAGGTCAAATGGACCACAGAGAGAGGGAGAGAGATATGGAGTTTACTTTAATTCTCTCAATCGCAGAGAAATAGGGGCTTCTGCTGTAAGTGTCAGTGAAATACTGCAGCAGACACACACGCAGTGAAATTGTTCACAGTTTCTGCGTTTTTAAAGGGCCATGAAATCCCCCTGTTTCAGCTGGGTGTTTTCACACCTCTAGTTCGGAAAAAGTCAGGAAAGTGGGTGTGTCTAGCTCTGTTTAGGTGGGAGTGTCGGGGAGGGAAAAGGGGAAGGATTTGAATAAAAATGGGAGTGTCGGTTTGGCACGCGCTGATTTTCACAGAGGCAAAACAAACACACACACAGGGGAGAAAGACAGTGACTGTGTTTAATGACAGTGGAATGTTTGACACCGCATGTCTTATAAAAGAAAAAAAAATTCTCAGTAACTCAGATGCACTTGGTAGGTCAGAAAGCCGCGTGTGTGTAGACTATCCTTTCACAAAATGCGGCGAAAATTAAACCAGACGATCGGTAATAGTTTGCTTGCAGTGTTTACATGTTTACACTCGAAGAGAAGCATTTAGAGCAAATCTTTCAGTTGACAATATTGTAGAGATATTAATGTAAACTAAGTAACTTAGAAATCATTGTGACTAAGGTCTGTCTTTAAACACTGAAAGAGTACTGCTGACCATACAAACTATAACTTTGCCATCTGAATGAACAAAGGGCGCTGATTGCTTACACTTACCAAATCTGTAGAGACAGGACAATCAACACCAACTGCAGCCGCATCTTTTTAAAAAGGAGACGAGTAGCAAATCCGGATTTCACTATTTCCAGATGTGAAAAGCTCTTTAGTAAAAAATGTTCCGTACAAACGTATTTCTGACGCGTGTCGCGTGCACTGATCCACACGTGAGTCCAGCTGCGCTCTCATAGCTGGAAAATGAAGACAAAACCTTCATTGCAGCACATTATAAAAGTAACACTGGCAACCCATATCTCCAAACATTTCTTATTCTTCTACCACTTTTTTTTAGCAACACAAGGAGTCGTCTCCCTGCCGTCTGAACACTGTTTCAGGTACAAACAGTCTTCGAAGCTAGCATGCATATTAATGAAGTTGCACTGCATACACAATAGAGCGCGCTGATTGGTTTGAACAAAGCCTTGCTCATAAATTAATGCAGCACACTCATTAGCCCCTTTCACTCATACAGACCTTTCCGGAAAATTACCGGCAATTTTCCAGAAAGGTTGTATGTGTGAACAGGTCCTTTTTGAAAATACCGGTAAATTCGTTCTGGCTATTTTCCGGAAAGAGAAGTTGTAACATTACCGGTAATTTGCCGGAATGCTGCGCTGTGTGAATGCAGAAGGAAGATTGCCGGAAAGAGCTCGTCCACGTCTAGAACATGCTGACGTGAGACGTCTGCTTTAGCCAATCAGAACAGTCAGACGCGTTTACGTCCGCGCGGTTTATGAGAATAAAAGCCTTTGAATATTTTCCCAGACGCATTTAGCGGCTAGAAGTTAGTCAGATAACGTTTCTATGTTCATCTTAATGCCAACTGTGTAAATAATAATCGATAAGATGCTTATGATAAGCCGTTGTTTGTTTACCTTCAAGCTTTGCGTGTGCCTGTGAAACAGCCTGTGAGCGCCAGCATACGCACGTATTATGAACATCTCGACATGTGAAAGTGATCCTCCATATGTTTCCATCAAAGTTGTTCACAATACTGATCATCCACAGAGTTTGTAATGTAGTCAAATGTTTACAAATACAAGCGCAGCCGTCTAAGGCTCATTTGTGGTGAATGATGTCAGAATTTACCGGTATTTTGGAATGGAAAAAAAATTCCAGAAAAATTCCGTAACGTCCTCGCCCGTGTGAACAGCGCTTTTTTGAATATACCGGTAAAGCTGTTCCGGAAATTTTCCGGTTATTTATCGGTATTACTGTGTGAAAGGGGCTATTGATGTAATAGGGTACTCCCAGGTACAGACATCCAGTCTACACACTGGAATACACGCTAAAATCTCATAGCCGTGACGCAGCTTCAAAAATTTGTTTCAAACTGGAAGTACGAATTTGCTCGAAATAACGCAAAAACCATCAATTTTTACTTTTTAGTGAGATATATGTGTCTTAATGGTGTTTTTAGCAGTGTGGGACACATATACGACTGTCAACAGCTCGAAAAATGTGCTTTGGTGTTTCGTGACCCTTTAAGTAGTTGTAAGTTTTCAACTACTTTAAGTAGGCGTGCTCGCCTCCCTTGCCATATTAAGCTACGGCGACATAAGTGCATATAAGATAAATGACATCAGTACACAATAACCGGTTATGATTATTACTGAACCAATGCCGTGCCATTATGTCCATCAGTTTCACTTTTGTTACACCCCTGTTAGTCATTAGTTTCCATCATATTATGTGTATTCATATCCCTGTGTTTAGTCAGTCCATTGTTTAGTATTCTTAGTTGTGCATTGTCGTCACCCCATGTTGTTCCTGAGTCTCCTGTGTTTCCTATGTCCTTCATGTGAGTGTTAATCAATAAATCTACGTGTTTTGATAACTCCTGCGATCCTTTGCCTTCCTGAGATAGCTCAGGTGTGACAGCTATCCCTTTAAGAAACGAACAGAACCGTGTTATTATCTTTAGCTTTTAATGTTCGATAGAAGTATGAAACGACATCAATGCCTTTTGCAAACTGCGCTGTTGGGAATAGTTTTCCACACACAGATTAGCTGTTGTGTCATAACTCTCCCCTGACGTGGTGTAATGACGAAGATATTTCCGTAATGCGGCTGAAAAGCAGTACAAGACTTTGATAAGTAGAAATCATTTGCCTTCATGAATCAAAACAAAACGCAGAGCTTTACTGCTCATGTTCTGCGCACTGATAAATCCCCGTCTGTCTGAACAAAGCCTCCTT